TTCAAAGACAACTTCATGGGAAGTGTAACTGTAACTTTTTAAACAGGCACCTGTTATTATGATTTCCAGCTCCTCAGTTTTATTCTGGGACTTCACTAAAGTGGTGTTTGAATACCACATTTTTCTCATTTTGGTTCTGTCACCACAATAAGTTTTAAATGAAACAACTCAGGTGCAGCTGATGTGCAGACTTTCAGCTTTAATTCAGGAGGTTGAACAAAAGGATTGCATAAAAATGTGAGGAACAACAGCTTTTTCTAACACAATCCCATCATTTCAGGGGCTCAAAAGTAACCAGACAAATTAAATAACTGAAAATAAAGTCTTCATTTCTATGCAACGACAGCCTGACGTCTTGAACTCATGGAAATCACCACATGCTGGGTTTCCTTCTTTTTAATGCTATGCTAGGTCTTCACTGCAGCGGCTTTCAGTTGCTGTTTGTTTGTGAGGCTTTCTGTCTGAAGTTAAGTCTTCAACAAGTGACATGCATGCTCAATAGGGTTCAGATCAGGTGACTGACTTGACCGAGTAAGAATATTCCACTTCGTTGCTTTAATAAACTTCTGGGGGGTTTGGAGGACATACACTCTTCGATCTTTTGGGTCATCGCCCATCTGTATTATGAGATTTTAACTGCATTTTAGCTGAAAAAATACAGTATATACACTCCACTTGTCACATCAGTACTTAAATTTTCTGTTTATAACATCAAGTGGTTAAGGATGCAACCAGGAAGCCTTAAAGAAGTGCCAGAAGTCTGGTCCTCCTTATCTAGAGTCCCACAGCCTTTTGGACTTGCAACCCCTGAAAATACAGACACATCTCTTTATGAGAAACAGCACAATGGGGACATGAGCTGTAAATGCTCTATAAAAAAGTAGTAAAACTAAATAAATATTAGACCAAAGTAAAAAAAAATAAAATTGTTTTTTCTCATATATAAGAAATCTTTTGTGCATTCTTTGCAATTTTACCATCTTGTGGTCCTTTAGATTTCTCTGGAGTGTAGCCTCATGTGCCAGTCTCAATCTTTTCTGTATGAACAGCTATCAGGATCTGCACTGAGCATCATCTGGCTAATCTACTTGTTTCAAACTGTAATTTGTCCTCAGCATACTCATTTATCAACTTAATTACCAGTTACCTAATAATGAGTTCTGGTTGATGCTAACCCTCTCGGCTTTCCTCCCTTTTGAAGCCACTCTTGCAACAAATTTGCACAGGAAGAGCAACGTTTCAACAAAATATGGAACAAAAAGTTGTCAGTCACTTTTCAGTTCAAGTTTAAGTGCAGGCGTTGTCGTCTTGGTGACCACTGAGCATGTTCAGTTTAATGGCCTTATTAAATGAGCAGTGAAAGAGTTGAGCAGCAGGAGAAGTGCTACTGATAAAAGAATGAGGTCTGTGACCACCAGCGGGGCCCTTAGAGCCGCTACCTTCACGTCACGTGCACAAAAATGGATAAAAATCATAACTAAAGGATCACAAAAGCATAAGCAACAGTCAAGCAAGCAGGATTTATGCACCTGCCTCTATTCCAACCCT